GTGTAGTGTGTGTGTGTGTGTGTGTGTGTGTGTGTGTGTGTAGTGTGTGTGTGTGTGTGTAGTGTGTGTGTGTGTGTGTGTGTGTGTGTGTGTGTGTGTGTGTGTGTGTGTGTGTGTGTGTGTGTATAGTGTGTGTGTGTGTGTGTGTGTGTGTGTGTGTGTGTGTGTGTGTGTGTGTGTGTCTGTGTGTGTGTGTGTGTAGTGTGTGTGTGTGTGTGTGTGTGTGTGTGTGTGTGTGTGTGTATGTGTGTGTGTGTAGTGTGTGTGTGTGTGTGTGTGTGTGTGTGTGTGTGTAGTGTGTGTGTGTGTGTAGTGTGTGTGTGTGTGTGTGTGTGTGTGTGTGTGTATAGTGTGTGTGTGTGTGTGTGTGTGTGTGTGTGTGTGTGTGTGTGTGTGTGTGTGTGTATGTGTGTGTGTGTGTGTGTGTGTGTGTGTGAAGTGTGTGTGTGTGTGTGTGTGTGTGTGTGTGTGTGTGTGTGTGTGTGTAGTGTGTGTGTGTGTGTGTGTGTGTGTGTGTGTGTGTGTGAAGTGTGTGTGTGTGTGTCTGTGTGTGTGTGTGTGTGTGTGAAGTGTGTGTGTGTGTGTGTGTGTGTGTGTGTGTGTGTAGTGTGTGTGTGTGTGTGTGTGTGTAGTGTGTGTGTGTGTGTGTGTGTGTGTGAAGTGTGTGTGTGTATAGTGTGTGTGTGTGTGTGTGTGTGAATGTGTGTGTGTGTGTGTGTGTGTGTGAGTGTGTGTGTGTGTGTGTGTGTGTGTGTGTGTGTAGTGTGTGTGTGTGTGTGTGTGTGTGTGTGTGTGTGTGTTGTGTGTGTGTGTGTGTGAAGTGTGTGTGTGTGTGTGTGTGTGTGTGTGTGTGTGTGTGTGTGTGTGTGTGTGTGTGTGTGTGTGTGTGTGTGTGTGTGTGTGTGTGTGTGTGTGTGTGTGTGTGTGTGTGTGTGTGTGTGTGTGTGTGGTGTGTGTGTGTGTGTGTGTGTGTGTGTGTGTGTGTGTGTGTGTGTGTGTGTGTGTGTGTGTGTGTGTGTGTGTGAAGTGTGTGTGTGTGTGTGTGTGTGTGTGTGTGTGTGTGTCTGTGTGTGTGTGTGTGTGTGTGTGTGTGTGTGTGTGTGTGTGTGTGTGTGTGTGTGTGTGTGTGTGTGTGTAGTGTGTGTGTGTGTAGTGTGTGTGTGTGTGTGTGTGTGTGTGTGTGTGTGTGTGTGTGTGTGTGTGTGTGTGTGTGTGTGTGTGTGTGTGTAGTGTGTGTGTGTGAAGTGTGTGTGTGTGTGTAGTGTGTGTGTGTGTGTTGTGTGTGTGTGTGTGTGAAGTGTGTGTGTGTGTGTGTGTGTGTGTGTGTGTGTAGTGTGTGTGTGTGTGTCGTGTGTGTGTGTGTGTAGTGTGTGTGTGTGTGTGTGTGTGTGTGTGTGTGTGTGTGAAGTGTGTGTGTGTGTGTGTGTGGTGTGTGTGTGTGTGTGTCTGTGGAGTGTGTGTGTGTGTGTGTGTATAGTGTGTGTGTGTGTGTGTGTGTGTGTGTGTGTGTGTGTGTAGTGTGTGTGTGTGTGTGTGTGTAGTGTGTGTGTGTGTAGTGTGTGTGTGTGAGTGTGTGTGAAGTGTGTGTCCACTCTGTGCATTTGTCAACCCCTCGGAGCAGAAAATGAGAATGGAAACCGTGGCCTTGAGCGGAGCCAAAATGGCCGCTCACCTGTTTTGGAGACAGATTTATGGGACTAGATTATGGTCCATTTCAGAGCGAGGCGTTCAGGGCCCCGCCGTGAAACAAAGTGACACCGGCGCATAATGTAAAAGTCGTAATTAAAGTCGCCGTGTCTGATTTTTACTGCTCTTAAAAACGTGAAAAACAGAACAAATTTTTATTATTTTTTTTAAAACCTTTTGCAGTCGTCCGAAGTTACTCCTCACTCACTTTAAAATCAGTTTATAAGAGCTTTTTGTTTTTTAATTTTTGAAGTTTTACCGTCACAGTGATGCAAAAAACAACTAGTAATCTAACGTGCACTTCCTGATTACATGTAGACCGGGGGAGAAAAGTGGAAAGAAGAAAGAAATAAAGAAAGATAAAGGGCGAAAGGAGAGAGGGAGGGAGGGAGAGAAGTGGAAAAAGAGGGGGAGCAGGGAGGGAAGCGAGAAAGTGAGAGAGGCGGTGATATAGAAAGAGACGGAGAGAAGGGCGAAAGAAAGAAAAGGAAAGGAGAGAGGGAAAGAGAAGAGGAGGAGAAAAGAGAGAGAGAGACAGGGATGGACTAAAAGGATGGATAGACAGAAAGAAAGGAGAGAGAAAGAGATGTGGTGGGAGCAGTGAGGGAAGGAGAAAGGGAAGTAGGGAGAGAGGGGAGAGAGAGAAGTGGCAACAGAGATGGAGAGATGTGCGAAAGAAAGAAAAGGAAAGGAGAGAGAGAGAGAGAAGGGGAGAAGAGAGAGAGACAGAGGGATAGACTAAAAGAATTGAAAGAAAGGAAAGAGGGCAGAGAGAGCGAGTGGTAAGCGATAGAGGAGGGAGAGAGAGACGTGGAAAAAGAGGGGGAGCAGTGAGGGAAATGTTAAGAGACGAAGAGAAGTGCAAAAGAAAGAAAAGGAAAGGAGAGAGAGAAGAGGAGGAGAAAAGAGAGAGAGATAGCGGGATGGACTAAAAGGATAGACAGATAGAAAGAAAGGAGAGAGAAAGAGAGAGAAAGAGATGTGGGGGAAGCAGAGGGAAGGAGAAAGGGAGGTAGGGAGAGGAGAGAGAGAGAATTGGCGATATAGAAAGAGATGGAGAGAAGTGTGAGAAAAACAGATAGAAAAAGGGGAGAGGAAAGAAAGAGAGAGGAAAGTGGCCTCAAGAGCTGCTTATACAACATATCTGTATTGAAATAAGACAAATTTTTCTCAAATACATGAAAAAAAAGATGATAGAGCCCCTTTAAGACAAACCCAAGTTGTTTTTTGACACTATTGTTTTGTTAATTAAAACTGAATTCAATTAAAACTTAACATACAAAATGAAAAGTAAATAAACGCAAGAATATTTGTAACTTTTCTTACACAGGGTCGGCCATCTGCTTTTCTCCAATTTACTGAATGTAAAGTTTGACCTAAGATGTTTTTTGTGATAAACTATTTCTGTGTTTAGTAGAATGTTTTTTTTATGTAAATATCTAAACTGTTTGGACTGATCTCACTGGGTGACCTCACATTTAAGACGTTGGAGGGGTTTACGAGCACCTGGGCTGGTAACCATTTTGTTTACTGTGGTCCAATGCAAGAAAAAAAAAATCTGACGAAGGTTTTTTGTTGCCAAAACGTTAACGTAAAAATAAAAAAGCTTTTGGACATCGGCCATCTGAGTCTGCTATGCATTTTTTCACTTTTTCCCTCACTGCATTTGCACCTCTACAGGAATTTTGATGTGCGTTTGCTGTTTCTTTTGAATACAGAAAGGCTCCATTGTGTGTTATTTTAAAATCCATACATGTTCACTGGAATCGTTTAGATCATTTCAGCTCCGGAATTGCCGATCTCTACTGAACTAAAAGGTAAGAGGAGCTGTTAAACTGAAAACCATCACTTCATGACATCACGAGGTGGAACAGAGCATGTGTGAATGAAACAAAACACAACTCCAGGCCTGTTTACATTATAACACGACTTAAAGCTCACAAGAATCAATTTTGTGTAATAGTGGACCTTTAAACTAAAATGCATAATTATAAAATGTATTGTTTATGAAATTTGGTACATAAATGCAACCACTATTGTTGAAATCTCTCTCCAAACTGCAATTTCTCAGCTTCCTAAAACCTGAATTCAAATTGTCCTCTAAAAGTCTTTGTTGTAAACGCTTAAATTGAGTTCATTTCTTGACTGTAGCCTTCTCTCTCCATCCATCAGCGCGCATCAACAGACCCCGCATGTATGAGCTGCTCTTTTGTCTTGTATCAAACATAATTGACATTTGCATTTAGATGTGTCTCTGACCTTTGTACCATCCTCACCGCGGACGGGAAGAATCCGAGATAAAGTAACAAGAGTCTGTGGATGGTGTTCAGGGCTATAAAATACAATAAGACTGCAATGAGATCGTATAGATGTCTGTGTACGGCAACAAGGGAGCGATATAGAAGTTTAGAGCAAGTTTTAAAGGTGGATTATGGGGTCTGTAAATCTGCTTGTGCCCATGTTATGTTTTGTTTTGAAGGTTTCACGGTACATCCTTCATGTATTCAATTGCACTAGTTTTAAATTTCTCAAAACAAAACAAAAACAACTGAAAAACATGTCCGTCTACTGTGAGTGGGTGCGCCTTTTCACAGATCTGACCTATGACTTGGCTCCTATGATGTCTCCATGGAGTTTAATGGCAAACTGTGAGGCATTCCAGGTAAGAACTAATAAGCAACACCAGAAAAGTTACACAGTGCAGCTTTAAATACATTACTCCTCTAATATTAATATGTCTTCTCAGTTTAAAATAATAGTTTAATTAGTGTTTTTTTGCAGTACGAGATAAAGTGTAAGCATATATCTATGGATTTCGGTATGATGAGAAATTATGACCGTTGCTATGGTGATGAGTGAAATATTACAGCTTTTGAATGAGAAAAAGTCCTCAAAATGTTGCCTATAACAGGACATTAACAATCGTGAATAAACGAATTTGACACTATTTAGCTTGAATCAAGATTAAATGCATGCATAATGTAAATAAATAAGTAAATGATTATTTATAATATAATTTAATATTCAGTATTGTTAGAAAACCGAAATGCGATGGCGTGATGAAATAGCTATAGATGAGACAGTAATCTACCGCCATCTGCTGGTGTGTATGTGTAACATGCAAACACACCGTTGTGTTTCGGGCAATTTTGATTTATTTAAAATTTTTACTATGTGACATAAAACACTAAAGTTTCAAACACAAATTATTATAAAAATTTATATTTCGTAAAGCTCGTTTTTAATTTTTTTTTTTTTTACAGTTGGTGATGGCGGAAAAGCGTCTCGTCATGACGTAGACGCGGTCCGTTTGAATACCCCGGAAGTGCTGCTTTGTTTTGATTCGCTCCTGCAGATTTTTATAGGCAAAAGTAAATTTTATGTGTTTCTTTTAATGCAAATAATTTATAAAGAAATCTTGACCGAAAGAACAGGATCAAATGCATTAAACCGCTGTGTAAGTCAGTGAAATAAATTATAATAGTTGTTTAATTGTTAGAAAATCGCTTTTGCTATGTGAGAAGCTAATGCTAACATGTTATTTACATCATTAAAATGAGCCGTGCTTCTCGGACCGCGTCACTGTTAAACTATGAACACAAACTGATATTCCTGTTATAAAATTGTAAATATTTCTCTAGCAATGACAAAATGCGTAAAACTATCCAAAAATAATGCTGTAATTTTATTCTTTGCAGGTTTTATGAAACTATGGAACAGGTGAGCGCGCTAATGCAAATCACACTGACAAAGAATGTTAAACTCACTCATCATAAAATATAATAAGAAATCACATGGTTTTATATTTACCGTGGTTGTACATGTTTGGTCTGTTGAATGTTCTAAGTGCTGCAAGGACGAAAAAGTCAAAATAAAGTCGTTTTAAGTAAATGTAATAAACATAATATCATGACTTAATTTCATATTGTAAACAATTTGAACTAAAGGAAGAGTATAGGGGTTGAAATCGGTATTTAATTATGAATAAAATGGCAAATTATACTTTTTGACATTAACAATGCATTTATTTCATTTAATAACAAATAAAACAGAAACTTTTAAAGATGGACTGTGTAACTTTTCTGGAAGAGCCTGGATTGTTTCACACAGTACAGTTTTGAACTAATCATCCGCTTGTCTCCATGGAGATTAGCAGTTCATAGTCCATTTTGCAGAGCAAAACAACACAATACAAAGTTTGAAGTGATAATATTGAAACTAATTTATGCCACTAACCACACTAATAATACTAAAACAGGATTTTACCCTATAAAACAATTCTGAATGTGCAATAAATACATAGAATGAAACACATTAGTAGTTGGTTTATATTTAATGAGTCTTAGAAGTTATCATCTACAGCTCAAAATTCACTGTAGTACTCAACAATAAAAGAAAACAACTTACATAGTAGCCCTTTAATAGATATTCAAAAGTTATATTTATAATTACATTATAGACGTACACTTGTTTAACATAATTATCCATAATTGTGATGATGAGAGAGGTGTTTCTATTGCTGCTATGATTTGTATGTAAGAGAATTTCCCTTGAGAGGGCTACAAATGTGGGCACTGCCCAGGGATTGTCTTTCATTCATTGTAGTAGCTTGAGCAGTGGCATGTGTAGTAATAGTAGTAGTAATAGTAGCTGGGGGAGTACAGAGCAGAGGCGGGGTCTGTGGAAACCTGATCGACTGTGGTTTGTCATAGCGACACAGTTTAGATGAGTCTGAAGAGAAGAGCTTTGGGATTCAGAGGGACAGAAACATGGAAAACACCAGGAATCCTGTAGTCCACACTGGGAATAATAAGACTTATGTTTATCTATGGACTTACAAACAATTTCAGGTTCATATTATGTTTAAGATGATATTATAAACAATGATGAATCTGAGAAAAGTTTAAAATATGTGCTTTTATTTTGTAGCAGGAACAGGTGGAGTGGGACGACGTGAACAAACTCCTGCAGCATCATGGATTTAAACCGGTGCATTTCGCAGATCCAGTGGAGAATAAAAGTTTGGCAGGTAAGAATATATTTGATTTTAGAATAAATTTGGATAAATGCAAGATTGATAACTTTAGTGCTTACTGTGGGACATTCCTGTTAAATAAACATTAATAGCCCGAGAGAAGTAGTTTATTTAGATGAATACAGGACCCAGCAGCTGGACACATGAACCCCGAAGACACTGTGATCCAGTCGAGTCGAGTCCAGTCTGGCTCTGCTCTTGTAGGGAGTATTATACCTCTAATAATGCAGGCCAATTTCTCTAACAATTCCTAGTCAAAGCAATAACCTCTCCATGGGGACAAGCAGGTAGCAAACCCTCCACTATAAAGGTTGCATAGGGAATCTTTAATAAGTTAAAAGTTACTGAAAATGACTTATTATATATAATAGATAATGTAATTCTTAAAAAAATTAACGTTCTGATCAGTAGTAGTAACATATTTGGAGCTTGTGGTGTAAATCCGTCTTGGTTCAAACTGAAAGAACTTTGTTTCAGTATTTTAAAATGTTCTGCTTAAGCTTGCCTGAATAATATGTTTTTATGTGTGAATCCTCAGACCTGGTTTTGTTGGACAAGCGCACGGCAGTGGAGATCAGAGCCACACTCAGAGTGATGCTCACAGACTCAGAGCGAAGACAACAGCTCATCCAGGAACTCATCAGGACCAACAGCCAACTCAAGTCAGTCAAATACACACAAATACTGTATGTGTATAACACTGGCTCTAGGCTGCTTCTTTATTGATGGATCAAACGCATTCAGTCAAAATTACATTACAACTGAATAATTAATTGCAAAACCTGCAACTCTTAACACACACAAAGCAAGAAAGGTTTATTGGTATAGCACAATTTGAACAATCACTCAATAATAAATACAGAATTTTACAGAGATAGTAGTATATTATCATTTATACGTCAATATATTCTCACTATAAAAATATTTTAGTTAACAACAAAATAAAGTATACAGGACTACAGTAAATGTCTATAGAAAGCCCGGTGTGGACAGAGAGTTTTATCTTGAATGAATAATGAGTGAGTTGAGTGCAGACCACCTGCCACTGTCACCCAACCTCCTCAGACACAAGAACACACCCAGAATACCATCACATCCAACTGTCATCTTTTATTTATGAGACACACACAGCGGACCACCCAGAGAGAAATTCAATGACTTTACTAAACAGGTTAAATATAAGATACACATAAATATAAGATAAAATGAATAAAAATGTCACCCTTAGTGTTGATAATTACAGTAACTTAGCACTTTTACCAGGTTCTCAGAGTTGAAATAAACCTTTTTTTATGTGTCTTCTTGTTTTGGTTTGTTGATATAAAAATTTTAAATTCTTGAGCAGTTATAGTACAGTTCACAAATTAACTTAAAATTTTAAACCTATTATAGAATCAAATAAAGGCATGCAATTTGCTTCAATAAAAATATTTAAAATAGACTTTAACTCTTTTAAAATATACAATATGGACAGAATAACTAAAACTAGCAGTGCAAAAAGTATTGTTGGAATGATTATGTAATATTAATTTAAATTGACTTTTTGTATTATTCCCTTCGTTTATACTGCAGGGAGGATGTACAAAGACACATGTCCCTCACACACAGAGCTTCAGACTTGATATATAATTCAAATAATAATAATTGTATATATATATTTATGTTTCCTCACAGGGAGGATGTTCAGAGCCACATGTCTCGCTCTCTGGCTCACACACAGAGAGCCTCAGACCTGGAGAAGCTCCTGGACCAGGTGAGGCTCAGACTGGCGGAGCTGGAGGACAGGTGTGTGGACAGAGCCGCGCACACACAGGGAGAGATACAGGGGCTGCAGAGGGACAAAATACACGCACAGGTGAGTGAACTTGGGCTGTCAAACGTATCAAAACCCAGATTCTAAATGATACCAAAACTGGTGTTGAAACTAGACACTTGGCCTTCAACCTTTAGAAGTAATGTGAAGTGAACTGCTGTTTATTCACATTGATAAACTCCACTGTTCATAACCTTATTGTACACAGTGGTTTTCTCAAGCAAAACCGTTTCGAGGGAGTGAAGCAGGTGGGGGACTCTATCAGAAAAGTTACATAGTGCACCTTTAAATCTAATCTATCCTCCTTAAAAGTAATGTTGAATGTAAATTGCTTCTTGGCTTTGAAAAGGACTGTTGCTACTACTACTACTACTACTACTACTACTATATACCATTATTTTTTAAGCTTTGAACCTTGCTTGAAAATGACACTAAATATCTGAAGGATGTCGCTTTTCTTTCCCGTGTGTGTTTTTCAGAGGTTGGTTCAGGACCTGGAGCAGACTTTGTTGAAGCAGAGAGAGGAGATCTCAGAGCTGCAGAGGAAGCTGCACTTCGCTGTGAGGTCAGAGGAGCAGCGTGTTTCTCAACAAAGTCAGACATTTGAACTGATCTGCAGAAGAACTGTGAGGCAAAGCAACGCACACGACCAACAGTGAGTCACTGAAATGATAAAAATTATTCTAAAATCAAGTAGCAACATTGAATTACGGGGTTTTCAGATAGTTACACTCCGACAAAACAAATAGGAAAATAATGTTTATTCCATTTTGTTTTCACAGGATTTTAGACGTGATGGATCATTATGAAACCAAAATGTCTCAACTGCTGGAAGAGCTGAGGTAAAGTAAAATATAATCAATAAATAAATAGATAGAATACTTTTTATTAAACATCTTTGTACATATTTTTTATTTTGCGTTTTTACAGAAGAGCAAAAGGAGAAGACGTGCCTCTAGAACAAACTTCAAGCAGCGTCTCACCAACTTTTAAAACTATGATCAAAGTAAACACAAATATTTAATTCAAAAAAAGTTATTTCAAATTTGCATAGTAATATAATTTGTGCATTTATTCCCACAGGCGTTTAAAGAGGAGCAAAAAGAGAGTAGAAACCAAATAGAAGAACTCAAGAAGAAAGTGGAGCATCTCAAACAGGAGCTGGAGACACGGTTTGTGCAAAATTAACCTCATAATATTTAAATTTTTTTATACAAACAAACATTTACACAAAGAATTTCGTTATTTTATTTCAGACCAACTTTAAAAGAGCTGAAATTTTACAAACACAAGGTTCGACGGATCGAGAAACTTTACAACTTGAGGTAAGAAGTGATAACAGTTAGAACAATAATAGATTACAAACTTTTATCGACTAATGGAGCTCAACAGTGAATCGAATATAGAATTTTACAATAAAAATAATATTAAAAGTCTATGACTGTTGCTCGGGTCTGATCAGCTCTGTAAAAAACTGTTGTCCTATTACGTTATATTTCTAAACACTACGGATGTGACAAGAAATTGTGCCACAGGATCTCACGAAAAAGGGTTTAACTTTGCTGAGTAAGGGTCTGTTTACACGAAAACGCCTGCGGGTAAAAACAACACAATATTTTATCGGAAGTGCTTTTTGGTGATGGCGTTTTTGGGGCTTAAAAATGCAAAAATCTTAAGCCACCCTCCAGAGTGGAAAAGTTGAATACACTCCGCCGTAGCGTTTCCATCTACACTGCCCAAGACGCAAAACTCTGGACAGATCTGCTCAGGTCGTGTACATGTTTATGTCACATACATCGCCCCCTAGTGTCACCGCATACCCGATCGAATTCCACACACTTTTGCGTCACTGTATGCATGCAGAAAACGCTCGCCTAAACGCGGAATAAAAAGTGAAGACACGACGCCGCTTCTGCTTCTTCTGTTCAGACCGTCATCATGTAAACATCGCCTAACTCCTTGAGAAGCAGTGATACCAAAAAACACTTCTACAATTACAGCAACAAATAATGTAAAATGAAATAAAGCATAAATTGTGAAGCAAAAATTACAAACTGAATGGCAAAACCTCGTCTTGTTTCGAACTCATCTCGTAGAAACTGTGTCCCATCTCTATTAAACACGCATGAATTGCAACATAAATGTGTTTGGGTTGTTTTTGTAAGTTTATTTGGTTTGATTGTAATAATTTTTGCTTGTATTTTTCCAGATTGGCTCAAGATGAAAATTCATTTGAGATTCACGACAGTGGCTCAGACGCCGCGTTATGCACCCAGTACCAACAAGTATGTGCTCAAGTCCTATTCTTCAGGGTTTTAAATAAACATTTTACTCCCTTTTTCCTACACTTTTGCTGCTATTTTATGTAATTATGTTTGTATATGTTAAATAATGATGATAATTTTATGTGCTCAAGTGCAACAAAACAACATCACCAGGGAGAAAAAATGTTGTTTAGCTCTTCAAGCTGAATTCTGATTTCCTCACATACTTTTGTTAAAGACTTATTTATAAAAGTGATGAGTAAAACAATTTATCAACAGCAACACCCAACTGTTTAAAAGTACATAAATTACTCTGAGGTTATTGAAGAAAAATGGTGTAGCTGTTTCTGTCTCATATATTATTTATAAATGTGTTTCTTTTCTCCAGTTGTTGAGTGAGATCAGCGCCGTGGTGACGGGTCCAAAAGCTCCTCTGAAACTTCACAAACAAAAACTCGACCAAGACTCGAGAAAACAGTTTAAAACTCTGCTCCCGACACTAAAGCTGTGGGTCCAACAACTCACACTACTCAAGGTACAAGAAGGAGGAGGAGGAGGAGTAGAAGTGGTAGTTGTAGTAGTTGTAGTTATATTAGTTGTAGTTGTAATAGTAGTAGTTGTAATAGTAGCTATAGTAGTTGTAGTAGTTGTTGTTATTGTAGCTGTAGTAGTAGTTGTAGTAGTTGTAATAGTAGCTGTAGTAGTTGTAGTTATATTAGTTGTAGTTGTAATAGTAGTAGTTGTAATAGTAGCTATAGTAGTTGCAGTTGTAGTAGTTCTAGTTGCAGTAGTTTAATAGTTGTAGTTGTAGTAGTTGTAATAGTAGCTGTAGTAGTTATAGTAGTTGTAATAGTAGCTGCAGTAGTTATAGTAGCTGTAGTAGTTGTAGTTATATTAGTAGTAGTTGTAATAGTAGTTATAGTAGTTGTAGTTGTTGTAGTTCTAGTTGCAGTAGTTTAATAGTTGTAGTTGTAGTAGTTGTAATAGTAGCTGTAGTAGTTATAGTAGTTGTAATAGTAGCTGCAGTAGTTATAGTAGTTGTAATAGTAGCTGCAGTAGTTATAGTAGCTGTAGTAGTTGCAGTTATATTAGTTGTAGTTGTAATAGTAGTAGTTGTAATAGTAGTTATAGTAGTTGTAGTTGTAGTAGTTCTAGTTGCAGTAGTTTAATAGTTGTAGTTGTAGTAGTTGTAATAGCAGCTGTAGTAGTTATAGTAGTTGTAATACTAGTTGTAGTAGTTGTAAAAGTAGCTGTAGTAGTTGTTGTAATAGTAGTTGTAGTAGTAGTTGTAGTAGTTGTAGTTGTAGCTGTAGTAGTTGTAGTGGTACTTGTAGATGTTGTAATAGTGGTTATAGTAGTTCTAATAGTAGCTGTAGAGGTTGTTGTAATAATAGTTGTAGTAGTTGTAAAAGTAGCTGTAGTAGTTGTAGTTGTTGTAATAGTAGTTGTAGTAGTAGTAGTTGTAGTAGTTGTAATTGTAGCCGTAGTAGTTGTAGTAGTACTTGTAGATGTTGTAATAGTGGTTATAGTAGTTCTAATAGTAGCTGTAGAGGTTGTTGTAATAATAGTAGTTGTAATAGTAGCTGAAGTAGTAGCAATAGTAGCTGTAGTAGTTGTAGTAATAGTAGCAGTTGTAGTTGTAATAGTAGCTGTAGTAGTTGTAGTAGTAGTAGCAGTTGTAGTTGTAATAGTAGCTGTAGTAGTAGTTGTAATAGTAGCTGTAGTAGTAGTTGTAATAGTAGCTGTTGTAGTTGTAGTTGTAGTAGTTCTAGTTGCAGTAGTTTAATAGTTGTAGTTGTAATAGTAGTAGTTGTAATAGTAGTTATAGTAGTTGTAGTTGTAGTAGTTCTAGTTGCAGTAGTTTAATAGTTGTAGTTGTAGTAGTTGTAATAGTAGCTATAGTAGTTGCAGTTGTAGTAGTTCTAGTTGCAGTAGTTTAATAGTTGTAGTTGTAGTAGTTGTAATAGCAGCTGTAGTAGTTATAGTAGTTGTAATAGTAGCTGTACTAGTTTTAGTTGTAGTTGTAGTAGTTGCAGAAGTTGTAATACTAGTTGTAGTAGTTGTAAAAGTAGCTGTAGTAGTAGTTGTAGTAGTTGTAATTGTAGCCGTAGTAGTTGTAGTAGTACTTGTAGATGTTGTAATAGTGGTTATAGTAGTTCTAATAGTAGCTGTAGAGGTTGTTGTAATAATAGTAGTTGTAATAGTAGCTGAAGTAGTAGCAATAGTAGCTGTAGTAGTTGTAGTAGTAGTAGCAGTTGTAGTTGTAATAGTAGTTGTAGTAGTTGTTGTAATTGTAGCTGTAGTAGTTGTAATAGTACCTGTAGTAGTAGTTGTAGTTGTAATAGTAGCTGTAGTAGTAGTTGTAATAGTAGCTGTAGTAGTAGTTGTAATAGTAGCTGTAGTAGTAGTTGTAGTAGTAGTTGTAGTAGTAGTTGTAATAGTAGCTGTAGTAGTAGTTGTAGTAGTTGTAATAGTAGCTGTAGTAGTAGTTGTAATAGTAGTTGTAGTAGTAGTTGTAATAGTAGCTGTAGTAGTAGTAGTAATAGTAGCTGTAGTAGTAGTAGTAGTAGCAGTGACATTATGTAGTACTAACAGACCAATTACAATTTAGTTTTTAATGGTAAAGCCACTATTCTGTTTGACAATTTGTCAGTTTATTTAAATATTTGATACAAACATTGCTGCTTTAAAGGCAAGAACTACTGCAAACTGTTTTAAATTAATTAGTTTTTATGTTTTTAAGACAGTAAAAATCAGGCACAGCACCTTTTAAGATAATTTTCTTTCCCATATTGTACAGCAAATTCAATTATGAATAGTTTATTGTTAAGTGGTGGGATTAGTTCATATGTTTCTGTTTTTGTGAATATGATTTTGAGTAAAGGCACAACAAATCACAAAAATTATTGCCGTTTTAGTCTTGAAAAATGTCTGTCAGGACTAGGATAAGACATTTTAACTTAATTTTTTTTAACTGAGATCTTGATTTTGTTAATTTTTTTCTTATATTTTATCTCTCAGGATCTGCAGCAGAGCCTAAACAAACTGTCCACTAAACTGTTGCCATGGCAGCCGTCAGAGGAGAGCTCTTCTTCTGCTGAAGCGGCCAAAGTGGAGGACATGATGCTTCTGGTGGACACACTCCTGGAAAACACCTCCACGGACGATGAGAAGGTCCAACACTGACACACTAAAGTTGTAATAATATTGAGTTAAATAAAGTTGGGTTTTTTTATCACACAACGGGGAAATTACAGTGTTTCAAGGCAAATGTCAAGACAGCGGGAGAAAAAGAACAAGCAATCACAACCAGTGTAATTAACTGTAAAGACTTGACAAGACACATCAAATCTAACACTAGGGCTGCAGAGTAAAGCTGTAAGACGACAAAACTTGTGAAATAAATGGCTCTGACTGTCACGTCCCTGTTCTAGTCTCTATAAATTCTACACAATACTACACAAAATTGATTCTTGTGAACTTTAAGTCATGTTATAATGTTGTTATCTCCTCAAAAACAGACCTGGAGTTGTGTTTTGTTTCATTCACACATGTTTGAGTAACTCTTTATTATTAGTCTGTCCGTTCCACCTCGTGATGTCATGAAGTGGTAGTTTTCAAGTGAACAGCTCCTTTTACTTTTAGTTTATTAGAGAGCAGTAATCTCAAGACTGAAAATGATTCTAGTGAAAGTGTGTGGAGTTTAAAAACCCACTGAGAGAAGAAAATCTGTGTATCATTCGTTCATTTGTTTTTCAATATAAAACCAAAAATAAGAAAAATGAAAAAACAACAATTTTCTTCATTATTTGTCTCCCAAACCAAAATGAAAAAAACAGATAATGATTTGTTTTTTTCAGTTTTCGATTTTGTGTTTAAATCAATAATGGAAATCATTTCTGTGACTTAAACTGCGATGCCGGACTGAACCAGGACTAAAATGGGACTAAACCAGGTCTAAACCAGGTCTAAACCAGGACTAAACCAGGACTAAATCTTAGTCTTAGTCCCGGTCTCAGTCCTGGTCCTGGTCTCAGTCATGGTCTCATTTCTGGTCTGGTCCCGGTCTCAGTCCTGGTCTCAGTCCTGGTCTCAGTCCTGGTACTGATTCTGGTCTCAGTCCTGGTACTGGTTCTGGTCCTTGTCTCAGTCCTGGTCCAAGTCCTGGTCCAAGTCCTGGTCCAAGTCCTGGTCCAAGTCCTGGTCTGATCCCAGTCTCAGTCCTGATCATCCGACAGTCTACACGAGCGCACCTTTGGGCCCGTCCCGACACTCAGTCCTGGTTTAGTCCTGGTCCAGTCCTGTATTTTCCATTATTCATTTAAACACAAAATCGAAAACTGAAAAAAAAAAAAAAATAAAATCATTGTCCATTTTTTCATGTTGGTTTTGGAGACAGATAATGAAGAAAATAGTTGTTTTTTTCATTTTCTTATTTTTTATTTTATTTTGAAAAACGAATGAACGAATGATACACGGATTGAAGAACTGAAGCCTAAATCTGCAGGTTTGTGTTTTGTACATGTGAATGAAACAGAATTTGGGCCCTTTAACTGTTAATAAAACGTAAAATGTGCTCTTTTCCGTACCATTCCAGGTTCTGCGGAGTCCGACCCGTCACACTCTCAGTTCGATGGTGTCTCATTTTCAGAAGCTGTTCGATGTTTCGTCTCTGAGCGGAGTTTTTCCTCGAATGAACGAAGTTTACAGCCGCCTCTGCGAAACGAACAACGCCATGAGGAACATCAAGGACGCGCTCAACATCGGTAACTAGTTTTAACATACATTTTTTGGTGTTAATATTGTGTTTTATCATTTGAAAATAAAGATAAACAAAAGGAGTTGTAAGAAATGGGTAGATACTAGATGGGTTTATTAAATTACAACGTCACATTATTCATTTTTTTGCACCGTGTAACTTTACTTGTCCGTAGAGATGTTCTTGTTTTGCCTGAGTATTTCACCGTAGGGCTTTAAAACTGTCGATCTAGCATTTAATTACACCTTCTCATATCTGTAACTTGTCCTGATCGTGCTCCTTTCTCGTCTCTATGTACATAAATCTATTTTAGGTTTAATTGCAGATTATTGAACACTCCAGGCAAAGCAATAACATTTCACTCGAGACAAGCACGAGAGAAACTACACTGAGCAAATTTATATTTACACACAGGTTTATTGCTGTACTATTAATAACTTTTAAATTACACTTTCAGATTGTATTTCTGAAAATTCTCATCTTATATTGAGCAGCTATATTGTGTCTTTAATTCTAAAATATTTCTGTTCCCTGGGAAAAGTTTGACAGACAGTAATAATAAATATAGGCAGGGTTTAATTTCCACATGAAGAGTTTCAGCAAAGAGTAATAATAATGATCCTCCTCAATCCTGGTGTCTGTTCTTTCAGACAGCAGAGCCACTTGTGCTGAGGTGGTGAACGCTGTGACCAGACTCAACTCTCAGACACAAACCACAGTGCAGGATCTGCTCGGAGAAGACGACATCGACAGGTGAAATATAATGGATTTATATTTATAAGTCTAATTAATCTGTATTTGTTGTAAAGATGTGTAGTATTGTTTGGTCACGCCAAGTAACACCAAAGTACTACCAGATCTAAACCAGGTCTATAACAGGACTATAACAGGTCTATAACAGAACTATTCCAGGTCTAAAACAGGACTATTCCAGGTCTAATCTAGGGACTAACCCAAGGCTAACCAAGGTCCAATGTAGGGCTAAATCAGGTCTATAACAGGACTATTCCAGGTTTAATGTAGGGATAACTCAGGTCTATAACAGGACTATTCCAGGTCTATAACAGGACTATTCCAGGTCTATAACAGGACTATTCCAGGTCTATAACAGGATTATCCCAGATTTAATGTGGGATAACCCAGGTCTATGACAGAACTATTCCAGGTCTAATCTAGGGCTAACCCAGGTCTATAACAGGACTATTCCAGGTTTATAACAAGACTATTCCAGGTCTATAACAGGACTATCCCAGGTCTATAACAGGACTATTCCAGGTCTATAACAGGACTATTCCAGGTCTAATCTAGGGCTAACCCAGGTCTATAACAGGACTATTCCAGGTTTATAACAAGACTATTCCAGGTTTATAACAGGACTATCCCAGGTCTATAACAGGACTATTCCAGGTCTATAACAGGACTATTCCAGGTCTATAACAGGACTATTCCAGGTCTAATCTAGGACTAACCCATTTCTATAACAGGACTATTCCAGGTCTATAACATGACTATTCCAGGTCTAATCTAGGGCTAACCCAGGTCTATAACAGGACTATTCCAGGTTTATAACAGGACTATCCCAGGTCTATAACAGGACTATTCCAGGTTTATAACAGGACTATCCCAGGTCTATAACAGGACTATTCCAGGTCTATAACAGGACTATTCCAGGTCTAATCTAGGGCTAACCCAGGTCTATAACAGGACTATTCCAGGTTTATAACAAGACTATCCCAGGTCTATAACAGGACTATTCCAGGTCTATAATAGGTCTATTCCAGGTCTATAACAGGACTATCCCAGGTCTATAACAGGACTATTCCAGGTCTATAACAGGACTATTCCAGGTCTATAACAGGTCTATAACAGGACTATTCCAGATCTAATCTAGGACTGAACCAGGTCTAAAAGTGGACTACATCATTTCCACTGCAGTTCTAAACAACTTTTTTTTTCAAAGAACAAGAGAAAGTGGGTAAAATGAACTCAGACAAACCCACAAACTGTCCTGTCCAAGCACCACCTGATGCAGCTTGCGTTCCACAGTTTGAGAAACACTTGTACAGATGTTAAAAAGTATTATTTTTGTCCTGTTTTTCAGTATTATCCAAAAAGTAAAGGATCATGACGAGTTTTTTCCTGCTTTCCACTCATTTATCATTGACATCTTACAAACATTGGGTAAATATTGTATAAATAAATATGATTTTCAGTCTGTATTTTTTTTTTTTTATCGTAAATGTGTCTTTTATTTTTTACATTTCAGGACTAACTCGACTCGACGACATCCTTCCTGCGCTGGAGACGTTAAAACAACAAGCTGCTGCGTGATATGAATTTTTTACTGGTGAAATGATTTGTCTGTATGAAAACAATGTGTGTTTTGTATTGTTTCATTTTTATCTTTAGATTGCAAGAGTTAAATTAAATGATTTTTGAATTCTTTATCTAAGTTTTTCCATGTTTCTTTAGGGTTCATAAAAGTGAATATCATAAGAAAATGTAAAAGTAAGTACCTCAAGATTTAATTAACTTAATTTTAATCTATGAAGACAAGCCAAAATTGAAAACACTCGCAGTTGAATAAATACAAGATATATTAGTTTAATGCCATACCATGGAACATTCTTGGTAAAATAGTGACATCGCCATGGAAACAAAGCAATGGTGAAACCTTTAATGTGAAATTCTTGAGAACTGATTCACCCGATTTTTTTTTTTTTTTGTGCACATAAATCAGATGTCACAGAAGAAGAAAACATAAATAAATAAATAACAGTTCTTCTTTTAATTATAAACTTAAAGATAAATATTACTTGCATAGTAACAAACTTTTGACAATTTTTCATGTTTGATCTTTTAATAGAACTGAAATTTTGCTTTGTGATTCCATCTGTTTTGTTGTAAAAAAAAAAAAAAAAAGTGCTATTTCCCAAACTAAAGGCTTTGGGCAGGACACAACAACACCGCTTCTTTGTGAGGATTAAAAAAACGAAAGCAAAAAAGTTAAATCAAAAACATTAAACATGTCGAGACTTGTGGAATTATTAGTGGTTTTCAGATTCTGGAAAATTATGATGTCTCAATCCCAGATGCAACCAAGAGAAAGTTTTTCTTATAACATTGTACTTTGTCATGAAATATCCAAAAAGTAAATGCACAAAAGTTTAAGTTGAACATTTTTTATTAGTAATTTTTGTTCTTGGGGCTAGTTAACATCTGAACAATTTTCTTTTAGCTGCTCCCGTCTGTTTTAAAGAGTAAACCACAATAAACATGTTATTGCTTTGCCTGGAATGTTCCACAGTATGGCATTAAACTTATTTATCTCCATGACGATAATAAGGCGAAGTCACAAGAACAAGTTTCAAGTCAGATCTTTTTTTTTTTGTCGGTAAGAACGAAATATATTTTTGAGCTTTAAGAACACTTGTATTTGAATTAAAGCAAAATGGGCACAATACTCTCATCTCCATGGAGACCAGCTAGGAGAAAAGTTACATAGTGCACCTTTAAATATTACTGACTAACAGAATATTATGTCATCTGATGCTAAAATAAAAGTAAATAAAAATAAAGCTTTGGGGATGGCTTAAATTAGATGTGTCATTAACATTTAACCACAAACAAAGACGCCTATTGTTTTAACTCTTTAAACCGGTTATTCTATAAAAACAAGCGATTAAGTAACTGCATTTACTAATACAAAGGATCATTATTAGACAATTCTTTCACGCCCTGTGTCTGTGTAGTGAAGCTGACACTTGAACTCAACCATTCAAGAGGGGATATAGAAGTCAATTTAAATAACAAAACAGAAAATAAACTGAAAATACCTGCAGGAATTAAGTGTTCTTTGATTCTAGAACAGGGAACTTTAACCTTTTGCGTCCGGTGAGATTCCTTTACAAAATGAAAATGCAGGAGAGCTACTCATTTTAGCGTTCGCAAGAAATTTATTTAATATATGAGAGCAAACTTTAGTTGTTGTACATTTATATGCATCTAAAACATACAACCATTATTCATTTATTAGTGCACAAAGTTCAAAATAACATGTTCACAATGGCAATTAATCAAATTTGAGTTATTCAGTGCAGTACACAGAATTCACAAATCCCTTGGCGAGCGACTTGGAAGGAGGTGGAGATCTACAGGTTCCAACCGTTTTAGAAAATGATGTTTTATTCCGATATGCCATGATATGAAACAAATGAAAAAATAAAAAAAATGACATAGTACACCTTTAAATATTACTAATCAACAGAATATTATTATGTCATCTGAAACCCAGCTATAATAAAGCTTTGGGAATGGCTTCAATTAGATGTGTCATAAACATTTACCCAAAAACAAAGAAGCCTATTGTTTTAACTCTTTACCTAATACAAAGCATCATTATTAAATAATTCTGTACTTTTCGTGCCCTGTGTTTATAGTGAAGCTGACGCCTGAACTCAACCATTCAAGAGGAGACATGGAAGTTAATTTAAATAGCAAAACTGAAAATAAATACTGAAATTCATTATTAGATTCTAGAAAATGATGAACACAATATCATGACATCTGAAAGCTTTGGGATTGGCTTAAATTAGATGTGTCATAAACATTTACCCACAGACAAAGACGCCTATTGTTTTAACTCTTTAAACCAGTCATTCTATAATAATAAGTGACTGCCCTGCCTAATACAAAGCATCATTATTAAGTAATTCTGTACTTTTCACGCCCTGTACCTATAGTGAAGCTACATCTGATCTCAACCATTCAAGAGGAGATATAGAAGTTAATGTAAATGACAGAACAGAAAATAAACTGAAAATACCTGCTGAAATTCATTATGAGATTCTAGAAAATGATGATGTCTTACTCCTTTATGCAGGCAGGAGACAGTTTTTCCTATAACATTGTACTTTACCATGAAATATCCATCTCCATGGAGACCAGCTAGAAGAAAAGTTACGTAGTGCACCAAAATATTACTGACCAACACAACACTATGACATTTTGAAACTTTGGGATTGGTGTAAATTAGATGTGTCATTAACATTTAACCACTAACAAAGATGCCTATTGTTTTAACTCTTTAAACCGGTTATTCTATAAAAATAATAAAAATAATAAATGACTTTATTGCCCAATACAAAGCATCATTCTTAAAGAATTTTGTACTTTTCACGCCCTGTGTGTGTGTGTAGTGAAGCTGACACATGTATGACCGCTACACCTGAACTCAACCATTCACGTGGGGACATGGAAGTTAATTTAAATAACTAAAAAGAAAATAAACTGAAAATACGCACCGAAATTGATGTTTATATTAGCTAGAATATTTGTAGAATTATTTCTTTAATAATTATGCGTTTGGAATAGTTTTAAATTGTCCAAAAGGTATTTTAAATAGAAGACGCCACCCCTATTTCTGTAATGGTACGGTCCAACTGCCTGGGAGTGATGCTCGGTTGCTAGGAGACTTCAGATTAGTCAGATTTGAGCGCGCGGCTGTGAACTAGCATGCACTCCGGAACTTTTACCTTTATTTGAGTTAATTTAAGCGCTTTGACATGGCGCTGGAGTGCAGTCAAGATGCTATTCTGAACTTTCTGAGGGAGAGAGACGGTCGGGTGCCGAACGCGGAGCTGGTGGAGCACTTTAAATCCATTTTTCCCGAGTGACCCGAAGGAAAAAGCGGCGACGCGCGAGCTGTTTAAGAGTCACGTGGACAGCGTGGCGTACGTCAAAACAGACAACGGCGTTAAATATGTTTGCCTGAAGAAAAAGTTCCGCGAGGAGGCTTTAAAAGAAGAGAAATCACAGCAGGAGGATAGCGGACAGGTAAGCGGACGTGACGTGGGACCCGCGGGGCACGCTGCAGGTGTGCACGCCGGCTCGGGTTTCACGCACGCTGAAGTTCCGCATGTTTTGGAGACATTGCAACACGGCGAAAGAGCCCAAAGCGAGTGCGATGCTGGCGTGGTGAAGGAAGACATCAGCTCGGACACGATGGGGAACAGATCGAGCGTAAAACGTGAGAAACGCGAGTCCAAACGTGAGGAAAACGTCGTGGAAATACCCGTAATCACTGTGAGTCAACCTTCGCCGGTTCCCGTCCAAAAACCCGTGTTCGTCTTGCCCGAACTTGAACAAAATGTAAACACGAAGCAGGGCGAGTCGCGTGCACTGACGCAAACTCGACGTGTTTCAACATCTGAAGAATTACGGGAAGAAACGCACGATGTCGGGGTGTTTTCCGACGGGGAAGATGACGGGCAGAGTCTCACAGGCAGCGAAGGGACGCCCAAAAACAGCCGCACGCATTTTATCGAAGTTATGATGTGCACTTCCCCGCAAGTGCGACGCAATATTAACCTACGCTCCTTTTCACACAGCGACAGCGACACTCTGTCCGTGGCGTCGTGCAATTTGGAGGAAGATCGCAATTCTGTGACGCTAGACCCGCTTGAACATGAGTGGATGATGTGCGCTTCCGACGCCGAGTGGGAAAGCTTGCAGAGATTGCTAAATAACGACCCAGGATTGGTTTTAAAGAAGGATTTCATAACCGGTTTTACGTGTTTACACTGGGCGGCAAAACAAGGCAAACCTGAACTTATTGCACTTATTATAAACTTCGCAAAAGAGAACAATATCGAAGTGAGCGTCGACGTCCGCTCCAGCACGGGGTACACTCCGCTGCACGTCGCCGCTATGCACAATCACATGGAGGTGGTGAAGCTGCTGGTGGGCGCATACAACGCAGACGTGGAAATACGCGACTACAGCGGGAGGAAAGCGTGCCAGTATTTGACCGATAACGTCAGCGTGGATATACGGGACATAATCGGCGCGTACGAAATCGAAATTGAAAATAAACCAGCCGCGGCGGGAAAGAGATGGCGTTTTGGCAAAGTCCTCCACGCTAAACCTCTACGGAGACTGAACAGCACGGGGGACAGCGACACGCCAGACGGGGGCGCTGGAGAGCCGGTGAGGAGGAGATCTTCGCTCAGCAGGATGAAGCCGAAGCTGCAGAAGTTGAAGTGGAGGACGTCGCAGCTCGTGCACAGTACCACGTTTCACGGAGCGGAGGATTTGGAGAAACGGCAAAGACCACGACCAAAAACGCACTTTTTTGGTTGAACTTTTGTTATGTTTGTTTTCGGATCGCATCAAATTTAGTCCAAAATCAACACGTAAACTGGACTACTTGTTATTTCCACCTGTTACTGTCACTGGAACAACTAAACTTATATTTTAACGAGCTATCTGAACAAAATATTATACAAACAAACTTAATACGTGTACGTGATAATGCATTATAGATTACAGAAACTACAGAGATACTTCCTGCTGCCGTTTTCTGCTGCCTGTTTATTTTGGACGTGTTTATTTTGGACGTGTTTATCACATTGACATTGACTCCAGGCAGAACTAATGTTTGATTTTATGGCACTTAAACTTTAGAACTTCAGGGGAAATGGCTTTTGCTGTCGTTAAGACCTGAACTTCCTACGTGAGGTCAAACTGCAAAAACTCCTTTTACTACTGCTGCTACTACTAGTACTACTACTACTAATACTACTACTACTACTACCGCTGCTACAGCTATGACTACTGGGCTACTGTGATTACAACCACTGCTGCTACTGGTACTGCTACCACTACCACTACTACCATCACTTCTACTACTTCTACCGCTACAGCCACTAGGCTACTACAACTACTACTACTACTACTACTACTTCTACCACTGCTATCGCTACGACTACTAGGCTAGTACTACTACTGCTACTACTGCAGCAGCTACAACTACTTCTACCACTGCTGTCGCTATGAGTACTAGGCTACCGTGACTAATACTACGGCTGGTACTACTACTATGGCCACTACTACTACCACTACTACTACCGCTATCGCTGTGACTACTACTACTTGGCGGCTGCTACTACTACTACTTCTACTGCTAGGACCACTAGGCTACTTCTGCTACTACTACTACTACTACTACTGCTTTTACCGCTGTGACTACTACTACTTGGCTACTACTACTGCTTCTACCTCTATTACTTCTACCGGTACAACTACTAGGCTACTGCTGCTACTACTTCTACTGCTATGACTACTACTACTTGGCTACGACTACTAGGTACTGGTGCTACTACTTTTACTGCTACTACTACTACCTCTACTACTTTTACCGCTATGTCTACCACTACTGCTACTACTTCAACAGTTACGACTACTAGGCCACTGCTGCAACTACTTCTATTGCTACTACTACTACCACTATGATTACTACTACTTGGCTGCTACTATTTCTAATACTACTACTACTTCTAGCACTTTTACTAGTTGAATGTGAACACCAGTAGGCAGTACTTTTCCTAATGCACTTGTCAAACCTCATGTTGAATTCTTCACCTCCTTCTGCTTCTGTGTCGCTGTTTAATCTGATAATCCTCAGAAACTGAAGCACAGGGGCCAAACGCTTCACTCTGGACTCTTATTTTAAACTGTTTCGTCGCTAAAAACGAGTCTTTATAACGACTCAGGCACTGTTTACATTAAAGTTTATGATGCAGCTTTTTAATCCCAAAGACAAAGCCAGAATTGAGATTTCTAAACTTTTTTTTTTTTTTTTTTTTTTGAAACATGCATTTGTTGAGGGGAGGTCTTGGTCACTACTTTGCACACGACGTTGTTACTTGCACAATTTATAACGTTACACTTTTTCAGGGCTGTTTTGTAAATGCATTTTGGTGAATTAAATGGTGATTTTTAAATGCATATTAAATTAAATAAAGTACACTACTGCACTTAAAATATTTGGGACATTGTTTCACTAAATACGAACAGTTTTATCCAAGTGAGTTTAAGCGTAGATTGTCATTTAATTAAAAGTAGTAAATGCTTAAAGTACATAAGTTTAAGTTTTCAGTATCTGTACTTAAGTAGATTTTTAAGTGAATATTTTTTAATTTTACTTCACTATGTTTGAGAGCAGGTGTCTGTACTTTCTACTCTACTACATTTTTGAACAGGACTGAAAAGTAAAAGTATTTTTTATTATGATTTGAGACGTGCTGAAAAAGCAGAGAGTTTATTTTTAACACATTTAGAGCCTGAGCAAACAAAAACATACGAATAAGAACAGCTTAAAGTAAGATCGATTTAATAGTTTAAAACTTTTGCACAAATTTGTATCAAAATCTCTTTATGAGACCTCAAAATATATGCAGAATAATTGTACTTTTTACTCTTAAAAGTAGATTTTTAAACAGGTACTTTAATACTTTTACTACTTTACTTTAACTTTAAATGTTTTTGTTCTGCTATTTACTTATACTAAATTAAAGGTGCGTTGTGTAACTTTTCTGGTGGTCCGTCTGTTAAACGCTTTTCTCCATGGACGTGTTATTGCTCTGTCTGGAATGTTCCACAGTACGGCATTAAAAACCAGACCAAATTACAAGTCTGACCTGTCAAAATTTCTGTTTTTCTAGATATTTTTGCGCAATAAAACCACTTGTAATTGAATAAATGTAAACTAGAGCTGTTTAATGTCACACTGTGGAACATTCCGGGCGGAGCAATGACATCTCCATGGAAACAAGCAGTCAAAAAGTTACACAGAGCAACTTTAATTATATATATTTTTTTAATGTGATGCTTTTAGTTTTACTTGAGTATGTTTTTGCGCTGGTATCTGTACAATATTTCTACTTCAATAACAAAACTTGAGTACTTTTTTCACCACTTGTAGGATCTAAAATAAGTAAAATTTCTTCTAGTTTCAGAGTAGACATTTTGTTTGACAGATATTTGACGTTTCCCCCGTCCACAATATTAAATGAACAGGAAATCGTCCCTGTCGGAGTTCCCAACAGGAGATCCGAACTTCGTCTACTATTGTGAATTTTAAACAAACCTCACCCCAAATAATCGGCTTACGTCCTGCTGGGGGCCGGACCGGGACCAGGAGCGTTTGACAACCGCCGATCCATCATAACATCTCTGGAGTGGAAATATATTGTTTTAAAATCCTCCAAAAGTGAAATTAAAGAGTCGAAAGAGCCGAGAGGAGCAGCTGATGGGAGCCTGGACTCGTGAAGTGTTATCGTGCGTACATTGTTAAGCTTAAAGGTGCACTGTGTAACTTTTTGGGGGTCTGACACCTGCTTGTTTCTATGGAGATGTCACTTTTCTGTTTTAGAATGTTCCACAGTGTGACTTTAAACTGATCTACTTTACGTTTATTCGATTACAGGTGGTTTTATAGGTCAAAAATACCCTGAAAAACAACATTCTGACTGTCAGCGGCGTCGCCTCTCCACAGATCTGACCTGTAACTTGCTCTGGTTTGGTCTCTGTGGAGATAGGAAGGGTTAAAGCCACACTGAGGAACATTCCAGACAAAGCAATAACGTCTCTCATCATCTGACGGCTGTTGTTTCGCATAGATTTTAAGATTCTGCTGACAAATTATTTTTATTTGATTGATTTAAAGATGCACTGTGTAACTTTCCTGGTGGAGGGTCTGTCACCATGGAGATGTTGCTTTGCCTGGAATGTTCCACAGTGTGACTTTAAACAGCTCTACTTTCCGTTTATTCAATTACAGGTGGTTTTATAGCTCAAAAATATCTAGAAAAACACTCTAAATGTGAGCGGCATCGCCTCTCCACAGATCTGACCCGTAACTTGGTCCGTGAAGATAGAAATGTTTATTTAATGCCGTACTGTGGAACATTCTAGACAAAGCAATAACATCTCTCCTCATCTGACGGCTCTTGTTTCCCGTAGACTTTAAGATTCTGGCGACAAATTATTTTTATTTGAATGATTTAAAGGTGTGCTGTGTAACTTTCCGGGTCGAAGGTTCCGTCACCATGGAGATGTTGCTTTGCCTGGAATGTTCCACAGTGTGACTTTAAACTGCTCTACTTTACATTTATTCAATTACAGGTGGTTTATAGCTCCAAAATGCCTAGAAAAACACTGTTCTGACTGTGAGTGGGGTCGCCTCTCCACAGATCTGACCTGTAACTTAGTCTGGTTTGGTCTTCGTGAAGATAGAAAGGTTTAATGCCATAGTGTGGAACATTCTAGACACAGCAATAATTATATTCTCCATGCAGAAAAGCGTCTGACGGACATTGCTTCCCATAGATTTTAAGATTCTGGCGACAAATTATTTTTGTTTTAATGAATGATTCTGTGTTTTTCTCTCCACTGGGGGAGGCACTCTGCATCTCTCTTTCTCTCCCTCTGTCTGTCTCCTTTGTTCATAAGATATATTTACATTTCTTTTTTGTTGTTTGTTTTGTTTCTTTTGTTGAAAATGTTAAATGGTTGAAGCACTTTGAAAGACAATGTGAGACACGACAATGTGAGAGGTTCGTTTGTCTTGTTAGAATGTTATAAATGATTTTTTTTTTGGCCATTTTAAAGTGACACGAGTATAAATGAGCTCTGAATGAGATTTTATAAAAGCAGTGAGTAATGGTCGTTATTAGGATTGGATCTGGTGTTTTTCGCCCGCATAATAGGTGCGATGTTGGTCTTAATTTTCCTTTAAGTGGTCTTAAAAAAGTCTTAAATTTGAAATAGTCACACCTGGGGAGACCCTGTGTTCTCATGGACCTGATTTCGTCTCATCTTGTGAAAATTTGCAAAGTTTTAAAGCTGATTATTTTATGCAATCTTTTTTTTTTCAGATGTTCTGTTTTCAGAGTTCCAGACAAAACCTGTAGCGCCCCCTCTCTGCAGCAGGACGTCACAGCAACAACAAAGAATGGCGGATGTCTAAATAAATTCAAAAAGCCCTAAACATGGTAAAAACTGAATAAAAATAAAAATATATCAGTTAAAAGATGCGTGTAACATGATTCATTTTAGAAGTAAATTGAAAAAGACTGAATGTAACGTCTCCTCTGCTGCTGTGAAATGTTTTTTTATTAGACACAAAAAAGAGAAAAGAGCACATCCTGGCGCTGCATATGATTTTATTCCCGTTTTAAATCGTTAATACCCATGGCAACGAGTCTATTTCTTTCATTATTCTGAAATGGATGGCGCTCCGGCGAGAAATACTGCGGCGTAATATTAGTAACTGTTTAAATAGTTCAAAATGGAGAAGTTTCTCAAGCAAAAATAAATGATTGAACAGTAATTATATTCCCCCCGGTCGCTTTGATTTGCAGTAATCAGAAAAAACAGCAGCACAAACATTTTTAACTCGGGCCAATTCTTCCATATGGACAGCAAATCGTACTCCATTTGTATGAAAAAAACACTCTTTACATCAAAACTCTGCAGTGTTTATGCTCTAAATGTTTTGTTTTGTTAAGTTTTAGATGACAGTGACGATAAAACCTTGAAACTTAAATTATTTGGGACTGTATGGATGTCAGTGTCAGTGAAAGATCCTGTACTTTCAATCCAATCCACTTTATTTCTATAGCATATTTCGTAAACAAACAGTTTCCAAAGAGCTGCACAAATACATAATAATACCAGCAACAATAAAATGATAAAATAAATGCTCAGATTTAATCATACTAGTCTTAAAATTACACCGGTTTTAAAATCACTGCATTGGCTCGATTTTAAAGTTCTTTTACTGTTTTTTAAATGCCTTAATAGTCTTGGGCCTTCTTGTCTTTCAGAACTGCTTTTACCCTACGAACCCTCGAGGACCCCAAGCTCCCGGTCATTCCCAAAGTCGGGACACACACTCGCGGAGAGGAGGTGTCTTTCCAGTAGGGACGGGCATTCGATGAAATTTTCTTAATCCGATAGTCGGAAGAATTAACGATCGATTAATCATTAACGTTTTTATATTAAAATGATCATCATTATTATTACTATCTGCACTACTAATCTGCATAAATAAATTCAACTTTACGACATATAAACCGTAACGACTCTAGAGCCACATCAGCCCGTTTGACATTATAATGTGTTTAATTCAGTTTTGTTCAACTCTCACAGAAACAAACTTAAAACCGCATCGCTAATTTGCATAAACTAAGCGAAGATAAAAGTACAGCTCTTGTGTCGCTGATGTGGTTCAACTTCTGTCAGATTAAAAGACATGACTCAGGTGAATACAGGTTAGTGTGACCAGATTTGCGTTTGTCAAAACCAGGACACCGTACGGGGGGAGGGAGGTGGGGACTCGTCATCGACATTGAGCGACTCTCACCTGGTAAAACTTTTTCCCACTGGACACAGAAACATATGTGCTGCTTTATACACTGTGCACATGGACTCACACTTCTCCCGAACGCAACGGAAAGTGTAGAATTTCTTGTACAAATCATCGTTAAATACGCATTTGTGCTTCGGTACGTTCAGACTGACCGACTGTTTGTGTCTCGCTCCTTCTGATGCAGAGAGACACATGTACGGACCCTGTTTGGTGACGCTACGCACAGCAGCCTACATTCGGTTTGTCGATTAAAATTAATGTAATCGATGAAATTCTTAATGATCAATTATAGATTAATCGATTAATCATGCCCATCCCTACTTTCCAGCACTACGGCCCTCGTCTGTGGAACTGCAGCCGGAGGAGCTCAGGGCCAAAGGGAAGGTTCATGTTTTCAAGAGTAGGCTCAAGACTCACCTTTTTACCTTTGCTTTTGATTGAAATTGTATACTTTTACTTGTTTCTCTTGTACACATTTTATTATATTTATTTATTTTAGGCATATTTTTTTAGGATTTCCAGTGTTTCCTCTGCATCAGGAGCGGAGGTTTTTGGGTGTTTGGGCTTCATCTCTCCCCTGGACTCTGTGGTGGTTCCTGGTGGCGGTGGACGGCTCCTCTGATGGTCCTTTCCCAACTAGTTCGCCTGTATTCAGCCTCACATTTTACTAGAGGTAATTTTATGTATTTTACCATGTTAGTGTGAGTGTGTGTGTCTGGGTTGTTTGGTTGTGTGGGGTCGGGCAGATGTGGGGGTGGATGGAAATGTGGGCTTGTTTTTAATCACTGTAAATCACTTTGTGTTACATTTTTGTATGAAAAGCGCTTTATAAATAGTTTGATTGATTGAAAATAACAGAATAAGAGCAAAATCATAAATAAAGCCAATAAAATAGAAGACACAGAGGACCACACAACTCACGCGGTGTTAAAAGCCAAAGAGTAAAAGTGTTCCAGAGCTTTGGGCCGACCACAGAGAAGGTCCTGTCCCCTCTGGTTTTAAGTCTCGTCTTAGGCCCCCACGAGCTGGAGCTGGACCTCGGACCTCATCCTCAAATCTGGATGACGTCTGAGTCGTACTGTGTTTTGAGACTTGTTAAATCTGGCTAATTAAAGTGTCTATATCATTTGTGAATCCTCAGAGGTGCATTTTTAAGTCTTCCCAGCAGGTGGCAGCACTAGACTACAGTTTCATGCAGTGATTATTACATAATTTTCACCCAGACAGCTGCAGCAGAGGTGGAGAGGACATCAGCCCACATCAGTCTGTTTCACATACTTACAGTACAAATACAGATTTAAATCACAAACTGCACGTCCTTAGAGCGTTAGGCAGGTCTGTCTTATAAATGTACATCGTTAGACCCAGTTTAATAATTATCACTGTGGAATTGCTATTCACTTAAATGATAATACTGCAACTACTACTATTACTACTACTAGCACCTACACCTCAAATACTTCCATCCAACTAAAAGAAGTAAAATGTGGTAAACTAATTAGATAAAGCTGCTGGGCTCAAGCTTTTATCAATTCTTTGTTCAAATTCATATTCAGCAAAATCCTCTAGTTCTTTGATTTGACTCGTGTTCATGTCTGACACTTGTTTAGTTTAGTCCTGTTTTGTTCCTTTTTGTTTTGTCACTCGATTCTGTTTGTGATTCATCAGATGGTTTCACTTTGTGGAAACCGGCTGACCTTGCAGAATCAGGATTCGTTCGCTCGACAGTAGATGGATACTTATTTCATTTAACCAATCACTGCTATTTGCTTGTGACATATGTAATGTGCCAAATCCCATAGGAAAAAGGGCAATAACGTCTTTCCCCTTGATAAAATTCACCAAACATTCTCTTTGTTCCGGCTTTAAATCCTCGATCTCGGGAATCATTGCCAACACAGAATGTATGTCTCTTCACTGATTGGCTGGTGCCCGAATTCGCACTTCCGGGGTTTTTGCGAACCGTCTAGTGCAGGGGTCTCCAACCTTTTTCTTCGAGTAAGCTACCTTTACAAAACGAATATTCCAGAGAGCTACTAAGTTTAGCAGTTGCAGGAAATAAAGTCTACAGCCATGGGAAGATTTAGATATGGTACAGTTAAATAAAACATAGAACATAAACCATTATTTAAACACAACGGAGTCCAAAGAAGCAAAAAAGTAAAAAAAAATCACACAAGGAAAAATATAGTAAAAGGCCTTTATTTAAATGGCCAAAGCCAACATTTTTCAACCTTAACTGGTCTTCATCAGGGCTTAATTACTTATTATTATTAATTAATTACCATTTAAAGATTTATTACTATATTTTTTTAAAAACTTTACTTCTTTGGAGTGCCTGGAGTGTGTTGTTTTTCAGTTTTGATCCTTTTTTCCAAGAGCACCCTCTACCTGCTCCCACTGATTGGAAAACCTGCAGCAAACAGCCACATTTTTGTTCTTTCTGTATAAAACAATTATTTATTTATAAGTGCTCAAAGTCAGGTATCAGATTAATAGATTTACAATAATAACAGGCATTTAATTAATCAAATTTGAGTTATTCAGGACAATACATGTAGTTCAGGAATCCCTTGGCGAGTCACTTGAAGGGCACTTGTGATTTAGTTTTGTTGAGTGTCCCTTAGTTTAATCCAGGGGCGTCAAACTCAAATTAAACAGAGGGCCAAAATTTAAAACTGTGACTAAATCGTGGGCCAAACTAAATATTTATTGAACAACATCTGCAGGTTTTCTCTAATGTTAAATCTTTTCTTATTAAAATAAATGTTTAATAATAGTTTTACTTAAACATTGAATCCAGAACAAGCATAATGTAAAATAATAACACAATTTTAACTAAATAATGTCTCTATAGTCTATCTGTAGCCGGCGGGCAGCTCTAATACATATTTGATTTGATCTCTCGGGCCAAATTTAATTATATCGAAGGCCCAATTTAGCCCCTGGGCCTGAGTTTGACATGTCTGGTTTAATCACTTGTTTTTGTCTAAGCCTATGTGACCTGTTTTTGGCTCAAAACTTATTTTGTTTCTTAGTTTAGGTTATTTTATGTACATATTTTAGCATATTTTGTTTAATTTACCTTTTACATTCCTGTTAAGTGTAGTTAAGATGATAAACTGAGATTCGCCCTCACCAGCGAACCACAACTCACTTCGACCACACCTCTCATTTCCCAGAAGCCTATTCGTAGCAGCCTTTCCCATCATCCCAGTTTGTCTCGGCTAACTCGACCCCACCCTCCCACCCTCTATCTTGTTCGTCTTTCAGCCATAAGACGCCTACGAGGAGGGTCCCGTTCCGGCTCGGCCAATTTTTGAGATTGAGACGGAGCCGCCACCTCGAGTCTCAACCCTTCCATCTCCACTCCGCCTCGCACATTATCAATAAACTTCTTCTTCTTCGCACTATGTCGTCGTTACTTAATTTATACCATTTCCACCTTGGTTTTTTTGTTCCTCCACTGACCTGGCGAGTCATATACAAATCTACATTTGTATATGAGCCAGCTGAAGTTGAACTGAAGCCCACTCAGCGCTGCAGAGCTGCTGTCTGTGAATCTGGGTTAACAGCCACTGCAGACTATTGGCCCGTTTCCTGGTGCAGAAGACA